TTTTGAAACTGGCGTTTGATTTTCCTTTATCGCAAGTGCCTATGTATCAAATTTCGTTTAAATTCTTCCATAAATAAAAAAGTTGGCACTGCGCATGCGCAAAACCAAATTTTGAAATTTGCGTTTGATTTTCCTTTATCCCAAGTGCCTATGTATCAAATTTCGTTTAAATTCTTCCATAAATAAAAAAGTTGGCACTGCGCATGCGCAAAACCAAATTTTGAAATGGGCGTTTGATTTTCCTTTATCCCAAGTGCCTATGTATCAAATTTCGTTTAAATTCTTCCATAAATAAAAAAGTTGGCACTGCGCATGCGCAAAACCAAATTTTGAAATTGGCGTTTGATTTTCCTTTATTCCAAGTGCTATGTATCAAATTTCGTTTAAATTCTTCCATAAATAAAAAAGTTGGCACTGCGCATGCGCAAAACCAAAATTTGAAATTGGCGTTTGATTTTCCTTTATTCCAAGTGCCTATGTATCAAATTTCATTCAAATACTTTTATAAGTAAAAAAAGTTTGCAATTCGGTTTATAAATGGTCGAGATGCGAAAAGGGCACTGTGAATTTTGAATCGATTCAATTCAACTTTTGGCATTACGTATTATATGGCTAAATCTATGCCCATATTGAATTTCATGCAATTCAGTTCATAACTAACGGAGATGTAAAAGCGATCGAACATTTCTAAACAAAGATCTCTAGGATCGTTAATAAACGGCATAAGTGTAAAATTATGGAACATGTAAAAAACGGTTTTTTGTTTTTTTTACAATAACTTTTTTTGTAAGCGGCACAGAAAAAATTCCTTCCTTGGTACAAGACTCGACACCATAACGAACCAAATAGCGAAAAAAGTAGAACAATAGCTCTTAAGATAAAAAACTAGTAGCGTCGCAAAGTTAGCGGACGGACGGACGGGCGGACGGACGGACGGACGGACAAAGTGGCCACAATAGCGCATTTTTTTTTTATTTTTGTGGAAATGCGCTAAAAAGACGCCTAGCCCTGTACTTTCGTATTAATATTTACAGCGTCATTACCTTCCTGAATGAAATGAAACGCCGCTTTTATCCCTTAGAGAGCGTTTTCCGGAGGTAATATTCATTCTGTACAAAGGGGTTTTCGCAGTCGTAGATACTACATCGTCGTTCGAAGTAAATAAGGCCGAATGTATACGTCAATCATTGTTCTCATAACCTTCGTTTTATTGGAAATTGAAAACCCCCATTGTTTGGATGTAAATATGTTTTTGTGACAGTCAACTATTTTAATAAAAATCTTTGAGCTGTGAATAAGAAATGTGCTATTGGATCCAGCGCAGGAATTACGTTTACGATACCGTCAAAAGTTATTGTATTGCTTTGACACGATTTATTACAATATACATGTATAAAGATATGTTTACGTTAAGTTCACTTCGTTTAATCTCAAGTAATTGTAAAACTTGAACGAAGTTTTGCCAAACGAAAGTATTATGTTTGGAGGTTCAAGACATTCGTCTTCCTTATTTTCTTGCAAGGAAACGTTATTAAATCTTATTTTAAATTCATAAAAGTATGTCTCATTATGATCTTCCCCTCCCCACCTACAGTCCCACATTTCCTGATTCCAAAAATCCCAGTCCACCCAACTTTAACTTCAGTTCACGACTGGTTCCGATAACTTTTTGCTGCAACATACCCAATTAGCAATGGTTAATTATTATTCTTACCTGTTTTGCCAAAATATTATTTCTCAAATGGGTCATAGCTGTTGTTGATTGGAATGCCAAGTCAAGCGCAAAAGGTGTCTGTTATCTGCGGGCTACGGAGGCTGTTCTGAAACTTTTAGCATTTTCAAAAATTTCTGCTTCTGTGGAAAATCAAAATTAGCTATCTAAAATGGCACTACATGTATTCTACTTATTCAAATTTGTATCACGGAAAAACAAAACAGCATTCTGTTCTGTTACATGTTTTCTACTTCTATCTTTCACTAGAAATTTCGACCAAAAAAATAAATCTAATTCGTGGCCAGGTTCTTTTGAACTACCCTTATTACTTCAAAGATAATAACAGTATATGGCACATTTTGTATACAAAATACACATTATGGCTAATCATATTCAACCCATTTACATGAACACTTTCTTTATTGAACTTTAATCAAACCAACTTTTAATTTTGGTTGCTAACATATAAAAGGAAAGCGTTCATCAAGGAAAAACGGACACCCTACATTTATTGATATTTTTGCTATAACACTCCCAACTTTCCACGGCTACTGGTAATCGGGGTTGGAAAGTTGAGGGCTCAAAGTGCCGCTCGAGGTACATGTGAAAGCTAGACAGGTGGCGGCTTCTCACGACAACTAAATAAAATAGTTTTATCATTTACTACCTATGAATGATTATATAAAACTATAATGGCCGTTTGAACAGACAAATTTAAGTGGAGCTTAGCTTAAGCGCTGCTTAACATCCATGGCAACGATTATTGAGGCAATGGTTGCCATGAATTTTAAGCTACGCTTAAGCTAAGCCATAAATATTAGATTCCTTACATCGCAAATACGAGCGTTTAAACAATTTTGTTGTAAAGCGTTCTAGCGGCCCATCTTTGTTTCGTTTCCGGCGAAAAAACTTGGCACTAAACGATAAGAATCATTAATTATTTGTGGCAAAGAATACACCGGCACTCTTAATTAATTTGTCCTTGATCGAATATGACTGTCTTAATCTTAATTAAGATGAAAAGCATGTAGTCGACCTTAAGTTCTTGTTTTTCTTTCACTTACACAATAATCCCTTTTGGCTTGGATACCAACGACACGTTTAATTCATGTACTCTTAAAATTCGTGGGGGAAAAATTCTTGTTTAACAAATTTTCAACGTATGATTGTCACCTCAACTTATAACGAAGTACTCGATTCCGTTGAGAAACTTGACGGATCGCAAAAGACCTCGGGTCTTTCGAGTAGTTTTTAACATCATATTGATCGCCCTTTTTTATTAGGTTCAATGTATGATTGAAAAAGTGTAGTGCGTGTTTGGCCGTTGGTAAAAGTCGTTTGCCACCGTCGATATAGAGGGGCGAATCTACGGGAGAGTCCGAGCAATGCCAAACGACCCGTTCGTAATTGAAATTTTAGAATGTTTAAGACCCCTCCTGGACGTTTCCGGGTCCTATTTAAGTCAAAATCGACAAAAATCGCTTGCATGTTTAAAGGGCTGTTTTTGCAAATTTAAGAGTGAATGAGTGAACAGATCAAATTTTAAGCATATGAATGTCAGCTCAACTTTTCACGGAGAACTCAGTTCCGTCTAGAAACTTAACGGATCGCAAAACTCCGTGCGACTTTCAAGCAACCATTAAATTTAGTTAAATTTAATTAATTTCGAAAAATTTTTCGGGACGGTCGGCGTGCTCAACTCTTTCCTAGTCGAAAACTTAATCGGCCCACGCCCGAATTTTTTTATGGATTGATTTTTAGCAAATTCATAACGAGCTGTCATGCGGCTGGACCCGTAATGTCTTTAAAAAATTACTTCAGATTAATCCCTACCTATATTTTTTGAATTAATTAACGCTCTTTCGCTTAAAGGTGAATATCCCCATCTCTTAATCGTTGATTACCTATTTCTAAGTGCGATTTCAGAACGAAAATTCATATTTATCCCCAAAACTTCCTCACTTGAATGGGACACTGTAGAACCTATATAACAGTTGGATAAGCTAGCGCTGCTTTGACCCAAACCCGCATAAACGGGCAGATAGTTCAGTGTTATTAGATGAAAAGGACTTGAAATTCTTCGCCGTGATTATTCGTTCGGGCATAAAATCTTCGTAACCTCCTTGGATAGAACTGAGTGCCTTCCAGTTTCTTTAAAGGTTTAACTAGGGCTAGGAAGATACCAGGGAAGTAATTATGACATCCAATACGAATATACTGTTGGTCAACTGTCACAATAAATTTAACCAATGTAAATGAAGTTTCCCCTCACATATCTCCCGTGAAATCTACATGATTACGTTAAGCTACAAATAAAACTCGTAATTAGCGCACCAAATTAATAAATCCCCTGATTCAATAATGATCGAATAAATTGATTTACTGAATTTCACAAAGTAAAATGATATGT